GGTTCAGGGTCCGAGGTTTAGGGTTTTTGTTCGTGCGACATGGCATAGACCTGCATGGGTTTTGGGGGTGATATCTCCTCCGCTGTGGGCTCTTCCCTCGTCCAAACAAGGCGCCCTTGTATGGAAACCCAGAAAGTCGTGCGTGCAAAGCCATTCAGACAAGGCGACGTTTCGTTGCTGATGGTCAGGTTGTGCCCTTCGCCCTGTGCTGATGACAAATGCAGCATGTAGGGTTTAGGGTTAGGTACATTGCATACACATACATCATAGACGCGTTGGTATCGACTTAAACACCGGAACTTGTCTAACTTGGCATGGTGAAGCGTCGCATCTGCAGACGGCGCCTTGGTCCGGAAGTCCAGGGCATATATCCTGCCATGTTCACGGTTAGCTGCACATCCCCTTTGAGCTTCGACGGCCCTAAACCCAAAGTTCTGCAAACCCTGAGCCACCAAAATCCTAAATCCTAGACCCTAACACCTTAAAACCCAAAAACTCTAAGCTTCAACCCCTCAGATTATGGACACGAGGGCCTGAAGCCTGTTTCCGCAGACCAGCGGCAGTAAATATGCTGACCCTGCAGTATCCTGCCGTCTCCTTAGACAGACAAAACCGCAGAGACGGCTTTACCCCGAAACCTAGGACAACAACTGTGTACTCTCTCGGCAACCATCAAAAAACACTGCAGTCAACCACCAAGAAACGTTTGAGTCGGAGCCCGACACATCAGGGACTGGCGCCTTAATACACGGGTCTTGACCATCAGCAAACGCTTCCCTGGCGGTTGGGGTTCAGGGTTTGAATTCCAGGGTTCGAGGCTTAGGGCTGAGGATTTAAGGTTTAGGTGGGGTTCAGCCCTTAATGATTGTAGCGGCTGGGCCCCTGCAACCGATGAGACTGATACATGCCACTTGTCCTGGCCCCGGCTGTTCTTGGGTAGTTCTCTAAAGTAGGGTCCCTTTTTGGGTCCCTTTTATTGGGGACCTAACAAGGGGACCCTCGTTTAGAAAACGACCCTCTTGACGACTCTTCTTTTGACATCGCTCCACAAGGGACCGGGCGGCGGACGCCACCAGGCTCCCCCAGCCCATCATCGTTACAAGCCCTTCAGTTTGAGACCCCAAAAGGGCTCGCTGACTCTGCCTGCAAGGCTGCCAAGCACTAGGAAGCTGAAAACAAGGTCCATGCTGTATGTCCCACATCCTGCTAACCAGCCCTGACACGCCGGCCGGCTGAGTCATTGCACATCTGCCTCTTGAGCTGCAGAAAAGTGCCACGCTGGGAAGAAGGAGAAAACCTTGTCCAACCTTTGGCTGGGAGGTGAGTGAAACTAAACGACTTCCAAGAAATGGATGAAGAGGCTCAGAGCATCTGGAACTGCGGATCCCATCACATCTTGCACGATGGCACCCACGGCTTCCTTCAGCGGCTCCTCAATGGTGTCCCAGAGGATGTCCTCTGCATACTCAGCCGTCTTGCTTTCCTTAGTTGCGCTGACCACAAATAGAAGGATGACACAGCTGGGAGACGAAGCAAATTACATCACCGAAGACCCGATCCGTATAGTCGACAATACGCGGCCCAAGAACATGTTTGTAGTAGTAGTAGTAGTAGTAGTAGTAGTTGTAGTTGTAGTTGTAGTTGTAGTTGTAGTTGTAGTTGTAGTTGTAGTTGTAGTTGTAGTTGTTGTTGTTGTTGTTGTTAATGTTGTTGTTGTTGTTGTTGTTGTTGTTGGTGTTGTTGCTGTTGTTGTCAGCCAGCTCTGTTGTGAGCGTACGTAGCAGTAGTAGCAGGGCTGGTGCGCCTAGCAGCAGTAAGGTAGTAACAGCAGTAGCATTCGGGCCGAAATGCGAGGTACACCGGCAAAGCTGGAACAGCTCTAAATGCATTGTCCCAAGTCTTGAGACTTGCATTGTTGGGCTCTGGAAACTCACACACACCCACCCGCCCGCCCACCCACCCACCCGCCCGCCCGGCCGCCCACGTACGCACGCACGCACGCACGCACGCCCGCCCGGCCGCCCACGTACGCACGCACGCACGCACGCACGCACGCACGCACGCACGCACGCACGCACGCACGCACGCACGCACGCTCGCTCGCTCGCTCGCTCGCTCGCTCGCAACCACACGAAAGAAAGCAACAAGCCGGGCTTCGATCTTTTCCAGAAGCGTCTTGTGCTGCGCCGATCGGATGAACGAACACACGATCCTGGGTTCTTGTTAAGGGATTTAATTTAAGTTACCATAATGAAGAAACCATATCATTTACTATAGATCCCTACTTATGGTAATTTAAATCAAACCCCTTAACAAGAACTCAGGATCAGCTCAATCTGTGCCCGCTTCTTGTCCAGGCTGGCATAGCGCGGCACGAAGCTCCTGAGGCGCTTCTCGGTGGCTGGGCCGTTCTTCTGGAGACTGGCACAAGCTGTCTCGGCGTAGAGCATGAGGCCCATGATGAGGTCATCGAGGACCGTTGTCCAGCATCCGTCAACTTTGGAAGGTCTTGGCGGAGCTTGCGCAGACCAGCCTGGATCTCTTCCGGCCTCAAACATCCCGAGCGATCCTTGTCGAAGTTCTCCTGCAAGCAATCCGAGAGCGCGTTGGGTTGTCTTTACCAGATCCTTCTCAAGGCAGCAGTCCAAGGTGTCCTTCACCGTTCGGCAGCCTTGGAAGAAAGCCTTCTTTGCCAACCATCCGGCGAAGAAGTCTGCTGCGAGACCTGTTGCAAGAACGGTGGCCGAAACGGGCTCCACCATGCTGGGCGGCTGTCAAACGGCAGGCAAGCTCTGTGCACTCGGGACGAAATGCCCTAAACCCTAAACCCTAAACCGTAATGATTTGGGCAACCAGGACTTTCCTGCAGCCGCTTCCTCTCTCGACCGCACCTCGAAGCAACCCCGAGACTACCTGTTGATGCAAGCCCTTCCTAGAAAGCCCTCTAAACCCTAAACACTAAACCCTAAACACTAAACCCTAAACCCTAAACCCCCCCCCCCCAACCCTCCAACCTCTCCAAAGCCGAAGTCCGTGACTTCAGGGCCCAAGCCACACTGAACGCTAACCCCTGAGGCCCTAAACCCTAAACCCTAAACAGCCCTAAACCCCAAACCCTAGACCCTAAACCCTAAAACCCTAAACAGCCCTAAACCCCAAACCCTAAACCCCTAAAGCCCTAAACAGACCTAAACCCTAAAACCCTAAAATCCTAAAACCCTAAACCCCTAAAGCCCTAAAACCCTAAACCCCCAAAACCCTAAAACGCTAAAACCCTAAACATCCCTAACCCCTAAACCCTAAAGCCCTAAACCGTGGCTCTGCGCCTCATGCCCGGCCAGGAGGAGATGGTACAGGAGCCGGGCCCATACCTTAAAGGAAACTACGGGTGGGGAGTTTAGGGTTCCTTAAAGGGTTCCTTAAAAGGGATCTATAGGATCTATAGGGTTTAGGGTTTAGGGGTTTTGGGTTTTAAGGTTTAGGGGTTTAGGGTTTTAAGGTTAGGGGGTTTAGGGTTTTAAGGTTTTAAGGTTTAGGGTTTGGGTTTTAGGTTTTGGGGTTTAGGGGTTAGGAACTACAGGTGGGGACTTTAGGGTATATAGGGCTTCCATAAGGTATATAGACCTTCTGTAAGGCTCCCATAATGGTAACGACCCACCTGAAAGTGTCCTAGAAAATGGCAAAGGCAAAACAAACCAAGGTAAGCACATCTAACCCGCACTCAGCACTGAAACCTAAAAATGACAAACACCCGCTCAAGCAAAAGGCAGCCTACCCTTATATGCAGAAAGATAGGGCTTTGTTCATGGGGTCCGCGTTCCCATTGCGCGATGTTCGATATTCCGAGTAAGCTTTTTGAATGAGAACCGGTTCAGGATGCGGGGGGGGGGGGGTTCCTGAGCAACCCTTGAATTCTCATGGGCTTACGTAGGTTGTGGGGCGGGGCTCATGGATGAACCTATGTTGCAAGATTCGTCGGGGGTCATAAACCCTGAACTCTGAGTCCACTGCCCTAAATCCTTGCAGACGAGCGATTCTCCAGCTTAGGGGAAGCTTCGGAAGTACCCTTCCACACCGTACGAGCTGCCCTCCTAAAAAAATGAAGCCCCTATGAAAATCCCCTGGCGCTGAACCCTCAAACCTAAAACCCTAAATCCTTGAATCCCTAAACCACTAAACCCTTCACCCGAAAACCCCTCCCCCTAAATCCCTACACCCTAAGCCCGAAAAGCCCAAAAAACCCTAAGCCCTAAACCCTAAGCCCCAAAAGCCCAAAAAACCCTAACTCCCTGCGCCCTAAGCCCCAAAAGCCCAAAAAACCCTCCTCAACCCCCTCTCGACCCCTGCAAGGAAGCCTTAAAGCCCTCACCTCCTCAAGCGCTGCATCCCCGAAACCAAATGCACGAACGGCTCTAGCCAAAAGCCCGACGCGCCCTTCACCGCAAGCGAATCAGAATTCTATTTTTGTTTTTTTTGGGGGGGTTCAGGGTTTAGTGGATAGGGGTTTAGTATCTAGCTCTCTTTCACCGAACTCTTGACTCCAAAACCCTACACCCTTCGCTCCGCAGGCTTCTCTCTGATGCAGGCGCCTTCATCGTTACAACACGGTTTGAGAAGGTACAGTATACTACAACTACACGGGAACCATCAAGGAACATTATTGCGAAATTCTTCCGAACACTGTTTGGGAGTACAGTTTTCTACAACTACACAGGAACCATCAAGGAACATTGTTGCCATTTCTGCCGACCTCCAAATTACCCGAAGCCGAAACCCCCGGGTCAGGCTGGAGCACGGCAGCGGGTAGTTCGGGCTTCTCACGCAGTGGCCAACCGCCACGCAATCACCCGAAGTCACCTCAACGCTTTCAACCCCTCCTAAACCCTAAACCCTAAAGCCCCAAACCCTAGACCCTAAACCCCCAAACCCCGAAAGGGTTTCGGGTCAAATAACGCCGGCTTCAAAATGATGCTGGATCCGGGGATTGGCGTTCGCTTTGGCGGCGGGGGTGCTACATAGTCACGGGGACTCAGTAACTAGGGTTCTTTCTCGGTAACTTTACGCCTCATCACATATAAGCCCCCACTATGGCCAAATATATAAGGTACGTATAACCTTACTTACTACGTCGCATGATCCTACAAGTCGGGTGTTGGGTTTTAAGGTTTGGTCCGGTCGACGGCTGTTTTCTGTATCTCTCAGGGTTTAGGGTCTCGCAAGGCTCTTGCAGCTCTGAGGTAAATCCCCAAGCCCCTAAAGCCTAAACCCTAAACCCTAACCTCCAAGCCCTGAACCCTAAACTTTCCAATCCCGAAGCCAGAAAAGCCAAAAGCTCAAACCCCAAAGCCTACAGCTCAAACTCCTCAGCCCCCTTCGGAGTTGGGAGAGGTCTGGAAGTTCGGGCAGTGGGGCCGTTACGATTTTGCAGAAATTGAGCTGGGCTTTACCTGATTAGACTACGGCGTGCTCATTTTTAGGAGGGAGGCGTGCATCGCGAAATATATTGGGGCAGCCGAAAGGCCAAGATTGATCTAAACTCTGTTTAATATAGCGGCCTTGATAATTAGAATAGGGTTTGGGGGTAAACTAGACTATAACTATAATAAGGAACCCCCAAAACCCTATTCTAATTATTAGGGCCTCTACATTAACCAAACCCCACGATTGAAGGGCTATACTGCAAGGGTCAATCTAATCACCCTTTAGGGTTTAGGGTTTAGGTTTTAGGGTTTAGGGTTTAGGGTTTAAGGTACACCCCAAATCCAAAACCCTAATCCCCAAACTTGGTGATGGGGGTGTTTATTGGTCTACATGACTGGCCATGCAGCCCCCTACCGAGAGACCCTTGGCTCCCTCCACTAGACGTTTAGGTACAGTATGGGGTTTAGGGTTTTGGTTTGGGGGCTCAGGCTTTAGGGGTTTATAGATATTGTGAAGGGTTTGGGTGCCAATAAGTTTTGACCCAAAGCTTTGACCGAAAGTTTTGATCAGGTTTTCCTTTAAACACCTGGTTTTGGAATTGGGTTGGATGGGGGCGGCTGGGGCTTTGGTGTGCTGTGCTGTGCTGGGCTGGGCTGGGCTACCTTTTTGAAACCGGCCCTACTTCGCGGCCTGACCAACAGCAACAAACAATGTCTATTTATTTCTTGCTTGAAGGTTTCGAGTTTAGGGTTTAGGCTTTAGGGTTTAGGGATGTTTAGGGCTTACAGTTGCACCATAGTAAACGGCCCTTACATGGGGGCCTCAATAAAAACCTTGACCAAGCCGAGAACCATGCAGAACCACATTAAACCTTTTCCACCCCAGACCCTGAGCTCTGAACCCTAAACCCTAAAAATCCTAAACCCTAAAAAGGCTACTGTAGGGTGTTTAGAATTGCAGAAACTTTACGCTGAACTTTTGTGACTCCGGAAGATCCACGACGAGGCGCGTTGAAGGCCAGACGGTTTGCCGATGCATCCTCCACCCAAACACCCGGAAGGATCTGAAAGGCTGATCCCCTAACTTGGTTCCTGAGTAACCTCTTTATAATAAGGGGTACCCTTTTTCCTCCTACTCGGTTTTAGGAAGGGGGCCCTACAATAAAAAGGGCAAAAGGGTACCACACTCAGGGACCTAGCTAATTCAGGATCTTTTGCGAACTCGTATTGTTTTCGAATCCTTTAGGGGTATGGGCGCAGGGTGTAAAATTTAGGGTTCACGGTCGAGGCTGTAGAGGTTTGGGTTTACGGTTTAAAGTTTCGCTTTAGGATAGGTTTTAAGGTTCAGAGTGCTGGAGTGATGGTGGTCTTGGTTTGGGCTTTCGGGTTTGGAATCTACGAGGTTTGGATTGTTGTGTTTCTCGAGGGTCCAAGGTTATTTTTTTGAGCGCCTCTTTCTGTCCGCCAATCAAGGCCCGTGTTTGCGGGAGGCGTTTGTGGCAAAGGTTTATAGGTCTGGCATTTGGGGTTTACGAATTAAGGTGAAAGGATTCAGGTTTGCGGGTTGTGGTCTCAGGAATTGGAGCTAATGAAAGGCTGTTTGCGTCCTTAAGACCTGAAGCCATTGAAGCTTGCTGGCGTGAAACACGGAGTTTCAAGAGTCCGGGACCTTTTAAGGTGAGAGCTTCCAAGGGTCAGGAACGCTTCATATGTAAACCTATACAGCAGGACCCTTACTGGACAATGCAATAGGACTTCGTCCATCAACAGTAGCATAACAACCATAAGCATCCCAACAAAGACCCCCTGGTGCAGGACTTGACCATGCGATGAAAGGGCGTTCATATATAGAATAGGATGCTGGCTGCAATAACCCCTGGCACCTCTGCGTATGGCATGTAGTACCAGAAGTCCCAAATTCCAGTGCCGTTTTGGTCGGCACCTTGCATGTTCCAGGACTTCGGGAAAAGGTCGGGGCAACTGTGAACTGGGCAACTTAACCGTGATCCTCCCTAAACCCCTAAGCCCTAAAAGCCCTAAACCCCAAAAGCCCTAAACCCTAAGCCGGGAAAGCTGGAAATCTGTGCTTCGAACCCTGGAATCCTGGACCTCTGGAGGCCCCCTGGAGGTCCCTGCTCTCGGCACGTTAGGGTTTAGGATTGGTTTAGCGCTCAGCTTAAGGTTTAGCTTAGGGTTTAGGATTTGGGGTTTAAGGCAAAATGACATACCGTAACATACCACAAAAACTCTATCCTAAACCCTAACCCTTTATCGCACCTTTGTAGACCCCTTTGAAGACCTCGTACAGAAACCCTGTCTGCATTCAGGATGGATTTTCAAAG